AATTGTCAAGTGATGCATGCCCCTTTAAGCATGCACAGTGCTATAAAAACAGGCTTCATATATGCCATATAACACCACGCACTAAAATATGATACAACCAAAATAATTATGGTGTAGTGTAAGAATATGATAATTTTTGTATTAATATGTATTTTGTACTGTGTGAGTCTGATTATCTCTTATGTGATAGAAGATTTGCACAAATGCATCAGTAGTAACTATGCTACATTAAAAGTGGCTATATTTTTCATATTAAAGTCAATTGACTAATTGCATGTGGCGATGTTAAGCATTTCCCTGTACATGTCCAAATTTAATTTGAAAATGTTGCTAGTTAATGGTAGAAATTTAAATAACCTGTCATGTTAACAATCTGCTTGCATTATACGCAAGATACTCTGCTCCCTAATGTTGTAATTTGCATAGATTGCCAAAGCTACCGTAATTACAAGTTCTTTCTAAATTGCTCCAAGGCAATTCTGTATTTTTTTAATTTTATTTTTCCAGAGTATCACTATTAAAGTACAGATTGTTCTTTTTTTTCATACTCAGGTTATGGTATTCCAGAATAAATGGCAATCTGCCCATTATTTAGCCCAGGCTAGACTTTCCTAACAGAAAACCTGATTTGCATCAACTAAGTAAGTTTGGTGGCAAATTCAAATGTGAATAATAATTTTGTGCCAATATCCAGTTTTAATTAATTTACTAGTTAGTCAAAAGAGAAAATTAATGTTCATTTGATATATACCGCTGGACAGTAAGTCATCACCTCTTGTCTCTGTTATATTCTGTATGTTAATTAACTGATGTCAATTATCCCCATTCCATAATTTTAAAGTACTGTGGAATATATCGGCACTAAATAAATGCCAATAATATTGATTATTTTTATTTTGACAAGTGCATGCTACAATAGGTGGGATAAACCCAAAACAGGAGAATCAATGGGGAAAAAGGATAAGCAAAAAGGAACAGATAGAATAAATATAAAAAAGGAAAAACAAACAAACAAGAGAAACAAAAAAATAAGTAAAAGTGAGACAGGATGGAAGAGCAACAGATAATTGGGTATATTCCGTATTTTTCTGTGTAAAAGATGACCCCTATTTTTAAAATTAAGAAATTCCTATTTTAAACATCAAATTGAACAACTTTGCTATTTTAGAGTTGACGTCTGAGAAGAACAACACACTTCTGATTCTCATGCCTCCCCTGTGCTACAGTACTCTGTGAAGTTAATGGAATTCTGGGACATCACAGTAGTATTCCCTCTGCTCCCTGATCCCCATTTCCTCCCCCATAAATATAAATCAGAAAGCAAGACCTACCTGAGGTAGAGCAAACTTTAATATGGCTACTCTATTTATGGCGTGGCATGTCTCTGGAGCTCCATTGGCTGATATCTGCTGATATCTGCTGCAGCTCCCACGCATATAGGGACCTCTTCCTCCTTGCAGCATTCAGAAGTGGATCGACGGGAGGGAGGCCAGGTATGTTTGTGGGCTGTGGCACGATGAAATGTGGCAGGTGCCATCTTAACTTAGGCCCTCACGCACAAGTGGGTTTTTTTTAAATACACATTCCATGTATAAGACGACCTCCAATTTTAGACTGAAAATTTTTTGAAAAAAACATTTTACATATACTTTTAAATGTGGTTAACTATATTAAACCAATGAATGTTAAATATTTACCTTTAAGTATGTTAGTTACATTTAAACAAAAGTAACCTAGGCTTCCTATCCTTAACTACATCACTGCCATCCTGTGTAGCATAATGTTTATATCCCTATGTGTTGCATGAGCACCATTTACTTGGCTAGTGGGTTTTGTAGGCTGGAAATCTGCCAGCTAATGTTCTGGCAGCAATTAGGCAGGGATTTAATTACAATAATTAAAAGGTTGGACTGTGTAGTGTCTCTATCTAATTCTCCTGACCGCATCAAAATTGCCAATTGATTGCAGCTTTTTGCATTGTTTTGGTTGTTCAACTGAAAAAAACAAAAACACAGGCAGACGAGCAAAGACAGGAGGCTGGTATAATTTCAATTGCCGCATCTGAACATCACCAGCCTGTTGACATGAAAGTAGTACTACATTAAACAAACAGCTCTTTATGAATGCACTGGAATAGTAATAGGATAATGGAGTTGCAATAGGATAATGGAGGCCCTTATACCACAGGTGTCCTATGCACCAACTGCAACTGCCCTCTATACATGACGGTGTAGCACAGGGGTAGGCAACCTTGGCATCCTAGATGTTGTGGACTATACCGCCCCTGATGCTTTTCCAGCATTTTGTAATATGTAACCAAAGCATTTAGTATGCCAAAGGTTGCGTACCCATAGTCTAGAAGATGCACTGTGTTGGTGTCCCAATTTTATAACATGACAGGAGGCCTCCTATTTTGCATTAACTCTCTTTACTAAACTCCACAGCAGTAAAGAAAAATGTAAAGAGTAACATTTAAATCACTGAGCAGCATAGTATATATAAGGGTCATGCTGCCTGTAAACTTCCTCTTTCTTTACTGCTCCATCGCAGACAGGTCAGACTATTTGGCTCCTCCAGAGCTTTATTCATTTATCATTATTAGTCGGTTTATTTTATTTAATTTATCCATTATATAGAACTGTATTTTCATTGTATTATTATCTTGCTTTGCTACTCTGGGCAGTGGGATTAGTTTGGCTCCCTTTGGGTTCTTTCCCCTTCTTATCTGCCCCTCTACCAGCCCCTGGGACCCCCTGGGCTTCCCCCTTGGGTTTCCCTCAGGTCCCCCCACCGCCTTACTACCTTGGAGTGCCCTCCTGGGCTCCCTCCTTGCGGACGGAATTGATTGCGGCCGTTTTCGCGCCAGCCTGCTTCCGCCCGCGGCCGGCCTCAAATTTAGTCCCCGGCTTGCAGCCTATACTCGCAGCCGCTATTTTGGATCGCGGATACCACGAGATTCACGCGGCCATCTTGTTTTACCGCGTGGATCTTATTGGGGACTCAGTGGTTGCAGTCTTAGCTGTCTGCCACCTGTATCCTGCTGGATTTACTCCCTATTGTGACTTTCATCCCTGTGAGTGCCTAGGATTATCTGCTCAGCATTTCACCTTCCTCACAGACCTCCTACTGTACTCTACACTGCATTCCACCAAGCTAAAGACATCCTATACTCTGTGGCTGGGTCAGTCAGGTCAGTGCTGCTGCCTGTTTAATATTGTGACCTGCACTTAAGGGTACCAACCCTGTGCAACCGGGGTGAGCCCCCACTATAAGAACATTAGTACCACGCTGCTTATTGGGAGACTAGCTGTTGCAGTTCTCTCTAACTGGGTGAGCCCCAATTTATAAGGTCACCAACTATACCCTGCTGGGGTTTATAACTGGGTGGCATTGTTTCCCACCACAACCACCACGTCAACTGACCCTACGCCTATACTTAAGACCTGGGTGCCTCCTTTTACTACTGTGCCTATCAGTGACGTGTATCACAGCCTACCCTTATCATGGAAGACTCCCAGAACGTCCCTGTGGACTTCCAAGCCATGATCAATGCAGCCGTCGCTGCCTCTGTGGAGAAAGCACTCTCCAAGGTACGAGCTACAGCTCCAGATATACTCAAGCCTACCCGCAGGCAACCATGCCACGAGTCAGACTCTGATATGTCCGACTATCAGACCAGGGATGACTCCCGCCCTAAGAAACGCCACGAGAAAGGCGAAGACTTTGCACCCAAACTACTCAAGGGTAAGGCACCTGCCAAGCACAAATCTGCCAAAGCAAGCACCCCGGCCCTACGTCAGGATTACTCTTCGGACGAAGAGCAAGGCCCTTCCCATTCCATGTCAGTGCTAGACGAATGGCAAGCTGACGTTTCTGACTCGGACTACGACGCATGGGGTTCAGATGAGAAGTCTGTCTCCGCTTTCATGCGGGAGACCCTCCTGGGTGCAGCCCAGACAGGAGGTAAGGAGGACACTGCGGATGCAGAGCCTCCTCTTGACTCGGACACCATTTTAGACCCTTCGGGTCAGGCGATGTTCGTACCCCGCAACACACCCCAGATCGGGAGACTGGTCTCCGCCAGAACACCTTTCCAGGTTCATGCACCTGTGGCTCCACAAGCCTCTAGAGAAAGAGGTCCGCAGCCGGCTTAGATCTGAATGCCCACGCCCTTCCCTGACGGATAAGGTGGCTCAGACCCCTGAGTTTGACAAGGTTATGACAACCTTCATGATGCGCAGTGGAAGAGACCCTCGCCGTGGGGTAGAGAAAGGCCTATGGGGCACTTAGGATAACCTGCTGGATTCCGTGGGCCCCCTGGCCCGTATTATGTACCTGGCGGATGACGCCTATGCCAAAGCCGATTCCTTCTCTGCCAAAGACATCAGGGAATGGGCACATGATGTTCGCGAGTGGGCAAAACGGTGCTTTTGTTTCATTGGAAACACAAATGTTACGCTCTCTTTGGAGAGACGGAAAGCAGCGTTATACCGTATTAACGGTAAATTGGCAGAGCTTGGCACAAAGGAGATTGGGGCCCAGGCACAAGGGAAACTATTTGGTGAACCGTTCCTCACTTAATAAAGCGCAGTCCTCAATGCACAGAGTCTTTAGAGGCAACCCCACCAGAGGGGGAACACGGACGACACAGGAGCTCTCCATGCACATAAATTGCCTAGAACTTCTGGCGGGGTCCTTCGCGATCCGCAGCCTGGCCCGGGAAAGATCCAACTGCTGCATCCTCCTACGCATGGACAATGTCTCCGCAGTCCGGTATATCAATCGCCTAGGGGGTGCACGCTCACGCCTGCTGTCGGACATCACGAGGGACATCTTCGACTACTGCCTACCTCGCAACATTGCACTTCAGGCCGAATACCTACCCAACAATGGCCGCCGACCGGGGCCTACGCCTTTCCCCCGTTCTCCATGATTGCGAGAACACTACACCAGATACGGACACAACATGTCACACTGGTTCTCATAACGCCCTTGTGGCAGAGCCAACCATGGTTCCCGGATCTCCTGGCCTCCTCCTGCAAGGACCCTCTACTCCTACCATCCTTTCCGGACCTGCTCATGGATCCCAAAGGGAATCTTCACCCACTTCTCTTGGAAGACCGTCTGCCCCTGGTGGCTTGGACTCTTTCCGGGGTTCCTGGCAAGTCAGCGGACTATCGCAGGCTACTAAGGACCTCTTATGGGATTCCTGGGCCCCCGGAACTAGACGCTGTTACCTTTCAGCTTGGGCCTCCTGGTCTACTTGGTGCGTGGAACGGGACTCCGATCCATTTACAGCACCTATTCCCATGATTCTCAATTTCCTTTCATTATTGTTTTCGTCGGGTCGCTCCTACCGTTCAGTTAACGTTGTTCGCTCCGTGATTTCGGCAGCCCACACCCCCGTCGGGGATCTTCCGGTTTGCAAAGACCCTCTCGTCTGCCGCCTGCTCCGTGGTATACGGCTCTGCCGCCCTGCGGCCCCGAGGTACCCTCTTCTATGGGATGTTGGACTGGTTCTCCGTTTTTTCAGGGATTGGCTTTCTAATGACCGCCTCTCCCTACGCCAATTATCAGCTAAGTGCGCCTTTCTGCTTTGTCTAGTGTCCTTTCGACGGGTTTCGGACGTTCGAGCCTTCGACGTCGACG